GGGACATTATGTTAAGAAACAACAGAAAGGGGGAAAGCAGAATAAAAGGGAGGTGGAGAGACAAGGGGTTAAAGAGGATAAGGAGAAGAAGAAACAAGAAAGAAAGGAAGGATGAGAAGTCCTAATGGTGGGGAGCAAGATGTTAAGAAGCAAATTTTTTTTAGAGATAATGGATAAGCTTTATGGTTAAAGGGATTCTAGAAAGGTACATAAGACTGCATTTTTATACTTGTATTTAGAAGTAAACATAGAAAATTAGAAACAATATGTAACCTAAAATGTGATAAAATATTTAACATAAATTAGTGAAATTTTTGGTTAAGAAAAGGGAGTACTGTAACGAAACATGATTCAAGATTGTGATGTGGGGGGGGGGGGGGGAAAAAATCTTTGAAAAGCATAAGTGTTCCCACAAAGGCATGATATTTAATTGAAATGGATAAAATGTTTAAGATATAAATGATTGTTAATATTAATGATTAGAATATGGTATACTAGCGAAATTTCTTGTGAAATGAGAATTGAAGTAGGAGGTATTTTTTAATGAAATAATGAGCTATAATATATGATGAGGGATATAATATATAACTATGGAAAATAGGGCTCCCATAAAAGTATGTGATTTAACTGAAAAGTAATGAGTTAAATGTTTAAGATATGAATGAATATTAATACGAATGAATAGATTTGTATTATTGTTGATAATATAGTATAATTTTAGAATGTACCAGACAGAATCCCAATATATGTCATGTGTTTTATATTAAGTATTATAAATGTAGGGGAAAGAGATAAAGGCATCATACTCCATATAGTGTATAGGAGAAGTTTTTTCTTTTTTCTAAAGAAGGAAAATAAAGGGCTGGCTGGAATAGAACAGACAAAGAATAATAAATATTATGATATGAATTGAGAGGAGATAAATAAAATAAAATAAAATTGAGAAAATTTAAAGGAGAGGAGAAGACATATAGAAAACTGAAAATGTTAATAAGATATGAAATGGTATGTAAAATGAATATGAATTTGAATTTGTGTCTGTACCAAGGGTTTTAACCCGGGACTAAGCAACTTTCAGATAAGAGATTTTTTATGCTTTTATGTTTTGTTTTATGTGTATCTATGTATTGTTTGTCTTGAAAATAAAACTTGTTTTTTTAAAAAAAAAAATACACAAACTCTTAATTACATGAAACATGTTTGTGGCATACCCTATCACCGATGGCATTCTTTTCACCAGCACTGTGTGTACCCTTAAAAACAGCAAATGTATTGTCCAGAGGAGTCAGATGAACCTGAAGTGATCTTCCAGTTCACCAATAATGCTTACCATTGGTCCAAAATATAATTTCTAATTTTCAAATAGCGCTCAGGTGTTTTGGCTTGACGCCCGACAAAAAATTCTGGAATCGCTTGCTTTTCTTCTTCTAGTATAACACCTCTATCTATTGCTATTTCTTGATCTGGTGACTTCAGCTCCTCTGCATCCATCCGATTTTCCTCGCCAAGGTGTTCAGAAGAAAGGAAATGAATGCTGCTGTCAGTTACGTCCTTTTGTTCTTCACAAAGCTCTGGACTAGGAAACCAGTTGGGACTTTCAGAAGTCCCCGTTCCATCACACTTCTGATTCTCTATTTTTATAGTCTGATGCTTTTTATTCTCAGAGAAGGAAACTACAGTCTCATCTGCGCTTTGTTCTGGCTTTGTGATGTCCTGGGTTAAGAGAACAGCAGACATGTGTTGGGCAGAATCCAAAACAGGTGCTGTCCAATTGCTTTGCTCAGATGGGCTTTTTGGAACATCTAATATCTCAGACTTTCCAGATTCTTGCTGATGTGCACAGGATAAAAGTTCATCCATTTCATCTGTAATGTCTACTTCCTCGTCATCTGATAATTTTTCAATTTTCACTGCATTTAAATAAGGGTCCGCTCGTCCTCTTAAGTGCTCTGGTGCCCATGTCACCTTCTTCCTTTCAACATCCTCACTGCTTTGTGGAAGAGGAGCACTGATGTGCTGTTGCTGTTGTTTCACTTTTTCTACACCATCACTTTTTGCCTGGTTACATTAAGAAGAGTTAAGCATTGCGCAATTAAAAACAAAAGAGAATACTAGTTAAGACAAATAAATAGAACCAGCTACTTCTCAGTGTTGCCGTTTTCCAGTAAAAAACAATTCCAGTTAGGAATAATAGTCAATGTTTTCATCCTAAGGTAACAATGTGTTAGATTATATAATTGTTCCTATATGCAAAATGGGGAAAAAAGGGGCTGCAGACCCAAAAACTCAATCAGGTGTTCTCAAAATTTCAATACAAAATTTGGGCATTTGGAAGAATTTGAAGCTGCATGAGTGATATGCAATGGACTTGCTATATTTCTAATTTACCTTGTTCTTAAAGTATTGCCTGGCATAGCTCTTTACTTGAAGAACGTTGCGACTTCCAATCAGCATAGCAATTTTTGTCCATCTTCTGCCAAATTTAGCCTAACAAAAAGTAAATATAAATTCAGAAGTGGGAATACAGAAAAGATAATAATTTATCTAAACATGCCTACTATAAGGGACTGTAATGGTATATGACCTTGGAAGACAGGAAGAGCTTTAGCCTAGAAAACAGTCTGATAAACAAAACGTGAGTTTGAAGGAGTAGGGGGTTGTAAAAACACCTCAAAAGGGACCCACTCTGGTTCTCAGGAGAGTAAAACTGAGAGGTACTTTCAAACTTGCAAAATTTTGTTAATGAAACCTTAAAATAAAAATAAATCTAATACTGCTTATTGTCCCTCTTGATTGACTACCTTTCATGGTTAACAGTTATAGAAGTAGTCCTCCTTTAGCAGATAACTCATTTAGCAACCATTTGCTCTTACAATAATGATGAAAACATTTGTGACCAGTCCTCACATTCAGACTTTTGCAGGTCTAAAAAGCAGAGTTGAAGTAAGATCATAAGCACAGTTGCAGTTTTACTTAATAACCAAGTTGTTAATTCCAATTGTGGTTGCTAAATGAGGACTACCAGTACTGCCAACAAGTACTATGGTCACAATTAATTTTTGGATACACTCTTCTGGCAATCCCCAGAATGGCATGATCACTTTGTTAACAGAACAGAGTAAGGATCTTAGAGGAATAAAAAAATAGTTTCCAAGCTCAGATGCGTAAGTCCTTATTAGGAAGCTAAACCCAGATTATATCTTACTCTCAGAAGATAAGAGTTTTCCATCTTCCCTCTCAAATTTACTGTAAATGATTGGGGATTTTTTGGAATAGTGTGAGAATCAGTACGAGGAATTGCATCTTAGAATCCCTATTGGGTTGCAAAGGTTATCTTATTCAACACAGGATGTTTTAATGTTAAGACTGAAGGATGACTGATTATCACCAAAATTGCAATAAGTGGTCCGAGTAGAATTACAGATAGTCCTCAATTGTGTCAACAGCATTGAAAAAGTGACTTTTTTCACACTTATGACCATTGCCATGGTCATGTGATCAAAATTAGGATACTTGGCAACTGGCTCATATTTATGACCTTTGCAGTGTCACAAAGTCATGTGATCACCTTTTGCAACCTTCTGACAAGCAAAATCAATAGGGAAGGAAGATTCACTTAACAACTGTGGTCATAAGGTCAAGGATCACATGTACTTTTCTGTTCCTTTTTAAACAATTATATGGTATGGTTGTATTTTAAAACTGTTTGTTAAATGTTAGTGTTAGTAATATTTACCAGTCCTTCTTCAAACTTTTCCTTTTCTTCTGTTGTCCATTTCAATGAACTAGTTGCTGATTTTGGAGGTGAACGAAGCCTATCAGAAAGCAAAATACTTGATTTCATACACATGCACTTAAATAATAGGACATAAAAGAAAACTGTTATAATCAACTGCCTTTGCAAAAAATACTTAAGAGCATGTCGCACATCTAAAAAGTACACATTTTTTAAACAAGGGCTTGGATTCAAGATAAAAAGACCCTGTGATTTGCAGTATCTTGCACATAGGATTTCCTATCACTCCAACATTATTTTTTGGGAGTTGTTAATATGTGGATGATATTAAAAACCTTTTGCCCTGATAGAAGGGTCTCACCAGCATATTATAATCTTGGATCCAGTCCAATATGAATGCAAGAACTTCAATTATTTCAGATTGTTTATAAATAACACAACAAATTCTACATGCATAAAACAACAATCTTAAAGTACATACATGATTTTTGTTTCTTTCTTGTGTGGACTATGAAGTAAAAACAAGAAAAATAAATGTTACTTAATATTGTATGTTTAGCAGACATTTCTAAAGTTATTTTTAAAAAGTTTTCCAGTATTCTCATTACTTTCAGCTATTATTTTCAGTTTTAATTTTTAATACCTTGTAGAATGAAAATATGTTTTAAAATATTGAATTCTTGCTTTATAAATTAACTGTGTGGTCAGAAAGAACATTAAAGAACACCGGTGGCCCACCATAGTTTTACACAGCAAATTTTACCTTTTTGTACATTTTTTATCATTTTCCTTTGGCTCATGCCAATTTTTTTCGGGAAGTGACTTGCTAGACAAATAATATCTGAAATATATTAAGGACTTCAGAACGTACAGTATTGCAAGAGAAAATTTTTACAAATCTTTGGGCGATTATTAAAAGCAGTGTCACTGAAATCCGATCAATGTGCATAAGCTGTAACAGTCATGAAGTATTGTAATAACATATTTTTGCACAATACTTGGTTAATGAAGAAAAATAATCCCACATGTATTTAATCAGACTTAATTGAAGCTTAATGTGTTTATGATTGTAACTGAAAACCAAGAAAACATAGACAAGACACATACAATTTCTCTGTACCAACACCCACATTCAGTGAAATTAGAATAATTTTACTTTCAGACTTCTTTCCTGCAGAGGAATTAATAAAGAATATTTGTAGCTCAGGATTGAAATGAGGGGTCTTTGGTGCTCTCTGAGGTTGGCTGTTCTCTTGCAGATGTTTCATTACCAAATCTTCAATTATTTTGCAGTCCCCCTTATACTTTTTAAAATAAATTTCAGGATATGGAAAAAGCAAAAATCTATCCAGGAAGCACAAAAACCTGGAGGTAGACAGAACAATCACAGCACATAACTTAAGTTATGTATAATAACCTTTACACACAGGACAACTGAGCTTATTCAAATAAGTATGTCATATTAATCTATGAAAATAAGTATTCATGGTTTTATGTCCTTGTAAGTCTAATCAACAAGGACATAAATAATAATCCTTCCTTTTACAGAGGATTAGGAGACTGTTGGCAAAAGAAAGTATCTTGGGAAATAGGTATGAGGAACAAATTGTTACAAAACCAGTCATAATCCTTAATATCTGCCTACTGATTACAATTACTTTTTAGTAGGAAAAGGATACTCTTCTTCCAGAAGCATCTTCTCAATGACAGCCTTGTTTTCTTCACTAATTGTACTATCAAGACTCCAAGGCTAAGAAAAGAAATAGCAGTCATACAACATTAATTCTCATAGCAAGAATGGTATGAAAAGAAAGAGGAATCCTCTGAGATGCAACAGTGAAAAAATAGGCATATTTGTAGAAAAACTCAGAAAACCTGAGGTAAAACTTGGTTTAAAAAAATAATATAAATTAGTAAAATCTCATCCTTTCCTTAGAAACCCAAAAAGGAACAGGGGCAACAATTATAATAAGCATGCCTCAAAAAGAAAAAGATGTATACATAAACATACTGCATATAACTAGCTATGCCGTACTTGTTCTCAGGGTTAAATATTCTTTCATAAACACTACATGTAATATTTTCTTTCTGCCTATGGTAGATTATACACCAAAGTACATGGAAATTGAAACATATCAAAAATATTTGTCCCAAAATACAAAGAATAAGAATTCATTATTTTATTATATTCTGTAGTTTACTTACAAGAACCACATCTGTTCTCCAAGTGGAATCAAGGTAGTGATCTTGGAGTAAACTGGATGAGGGATACTGATAACTTCTGAAACAAAAAACCAAAGAATAAATATTATCATAGGCATGGTGTTTTAATACTTTTAAAATATCATATAATATTGCCCTGCCCTTGATCCTACCCATTTGTTTTTGCAAGATCATATGGATTAACAGATACCATAGAAGAACGGGCTCACCTAGAGAGCTGGGTTAAACGTTGCCATAAGAGATCCCAGGACCAGTTCCGTTCTGTTTAATTCTGTTGATCCTTATCTAATATCAAGTTAGTTTTGACCATTACTTGGCTAGATTCTCGTGTATAGGTAGCAATAACAAACCCTTCTATCCTTTGGACTCAATGAATTATTCTAGTTATTTGCCCCCGACAGATACTGGAAAAATATTATTTTATAGCAAATATCTATAATTCCTTATCCCATGAGATAAACAGTGAAACATTCAGTTATTGTTGCAGCAGTATGCCATATTTAGGACCATCTGATCTGAAGAACCAGTGGTTGGAAAAGATCATCCATAAAAAATATCAGAGTCCTTTGCACACTGTGTATCAAAATGAAAAGTTAACTGTATGGTTTAGAAGCTTAAGATAATAAAATAAAAATAATTGTAAAGAGTAGGATCAATTCAAAGTATGAAAATGGAACAAAAGGTATGAAAGTCTATGAAAAGGTAAATTATTTTTACAGAGATGAAAAGTAATATATGATCCATGAGATGCTGATAAACAACAGATGAGGAAGCAAGATGAGATTTTATCAGTTACTCCTGAATTGAGTAAATCATTTCCATTCCTTCACATCCTTCAAAGAAGTCTATAGATATTCAATTGCCACTATTATCTCTGTCACACTGAAAGATTACTGGGAAAGACCCAAGCAGCAAGCAGAGACACATATTTAATTTAACACTGTTACCATTTTTAAGAAGCTCATCAAGCACAGCTTTATAGTGTAATGCTAAATAACCTTGGGAAGCAGGAGGAAAAGCTGCAGCCTGGTCTGATGATAAATATTTGACTGAAGGAGATTTTAACTATTGGCAGAGTAAAAGTGAAGGGAGGGAGGGGTACATTCAGACTTGCAAGATTCTGTTAATGCAACCTTACAATAAAGATAAAGCTGGTACTCCAAGTTGTGCTTCTTGTCTGGGCCACACATGCAAGGCTTATAAATCCTTAAAGATATCATGAACTGCAATTTCGCAGATCGAATCCCGCCAGGCTCAAGGTTGACTCAGTCTTCCATCCTTCCGAGGTGGGTAAAATGAGGACCCAAATTGTTGTGGGCAATATGCTGACTGTGTAAACCACTTAGAAAGGGCTGTAAAGCACTGTGAAGTGGTATATAAGTCTAAGTGCTATTGCTATTAGGCTGCCACAGTTTACAAATACACCCACTCCTTCCTATGCTGTTTGCAAAAAAATAACCGGTTTTATTTTGGTAAACATAATAGCTGGGGGGTGTAACGGATGGTGTCTCTCCTCCCTCCCCACCCCCCAATCATTTAGATCTCTGGCCGTCGTAAGAGAACAGAATAGATAAACTAACTTATAAGTCTACTTTACGCGAGCACGAATATGACTCTGGGAGACCGACGGAACGAAACATCGTCCCCGAAGGCGAGTCAGAAACCTTTAGATCAGTGTTTCTCACCTTTGGCTACTTTAAGACGGTGGACTTCAACTCCCAGAATTCCCCGGCCCGCATGGCTGGCTGTGAAATTCTGGGGGTTGCAGTCCACAAAATTTAAAACGGCCAAGGTTGACAAACACCGGGTCCTAGACCCAGGGCAGTGGCACGACTGACTTCAATCAGCCCCCCGCCATGGAAAAAGGGTCCGGGCGAACGGCATTGCGCGAGGCCTCTCCTCCAAAACAGAACCATTTTCCCGATTGCCAGGTGGCGGCCCAAAGCTCGCCCTCTCTTACCCTGGCTGCGCTTCCGCAGCAGGTCCCACCGCCGAATCGCCCTCGACATCGACATCTAACTCTTCCACAGCTTCCATACTTGCACCTCCGCCGGATATCGCGGCGACGACACAGGAAGGGAGTCAAATATGGGCTGGCGCGTCTTCCGCCCTGGAGCTCGGGCCTGGATGACGACGTAGGAGGCGGCCTCAAGACCCGCGCGTGCGCACAATGAGACGGGCTTCCCCCGTTGGGTCTTGCTTCTGCCCTTAGTTGGTTGTGGCGAAGGAAAACGTGACTGGGCTGGAAGGGTGCTATGGATAGACCCAGTGTGGCGAGAGAAAGAGCTGAAGGAAGAAAAATCCAGTCCGGTTCCAATCCGGGGAGAAAAAAAAATCAATAAAACGGAGACTGGCTAATTGGAAAGAAGGTCTTTGTTTATTTGGAAGCCAGAAACTTCAGTGACAGCAGCAAATGTTTATGGGGTGGCTGAGTGAATGGATGGATTTTGATAGGGTTCTGTGATGCCCCGGGGGTTGTGCAATGCAGTGAGCCTTGTGTCTTTTATTATTTCAATGGGGGTGGGTTAATCCTATTGTGCCCCAAACCCAAAGGTCATGTCCTACCCTTGGAATTTGGGTGGGGGAATGTTAGATGTTTAATCCCATCAGCTCCAACCTTCTGTGCGTTTTGTTTATGAATAGATTGGCCCAGTCTTCCTGAATGGATATCAAATCTGCCTTCCCAAACGCCTCTTCAAGTTTCTTAGTTCGAAGCTATTTTCCTACAGCAGGAAGACTGGGTCTGCTTTTTGCCTTTATTGAGATTTTTCTCCTTTGGGGAAAAAGTGTGGCCTGCTTCTAATTTAATATCAAGAATAAAGACTATGGAGGGAGAACTTCCTACAGAGCAGATGGAAACTCTCTTGTGTGTGTGCGAGTACTCTGTGTATGTGTGTGTATAGCTCTGCTAATGTTGATATACACACATGCGTGCACACACACTCAAAATTAGTGTAACATTGCTTCCACAGCTCTCCAAACAGCATGTACTAAAAGCAGCAGCTACACTGGCCTTTCTGACAGGTCATGTGTATAGAAGTCAGGGTTAGGTTTGTGAATCACTTATTCATGTGTTTGTAGAGATTTTCAAGGCATTCAGTTAGACTGGAGCAGCAATGAACCCCACTGTAGAAGACAATGTTGCTTTAAAATAGGGCTGTCAGATCTGCCCCTTTCATTATCTCTGGACTCCTTATAACACATTTCTCTTTTTTTTTCACAAGAGTGCCAATTAATTTTATCAAATTTAGAGGCCTTCCGACTCATTCTCAGAGTGATTCTACTCTGGGCATATTGCATATTCTACTCTGGGCATATTGCAATCTCCTACCTCTGAAGCCTGCAAAAATCCAGGTCTGCTGAGTCAGCTCTTTCAAAGCCCACAAGTTGCCCTGACCAATAGGCCAGTGGGTTTATGGATTTGGAGACCTAGCAGATTTTAAAAATTGAATTTCTCTTGTCACTTGCCACTTCTCCAAACCATGGGATTAGAGATCTTGGTGAAAGAGCTCTCATATTCCTCTGGTCACACAAGCAAAGGGAAGAAAGTTCTAACATGGTACGTTCTTCTTCGCCCAAACACTTGGCAGTATGCCATAGCCCATTAAATTTCCACTCAACTTTGCCTGTGCGGTTTAGTGACTGGCAGGCAGCTAAGAAGCAGCGAAGGCAGGTAATTAAAAGGAACTTTCCAATCTCTACCTAGCAGGGCCAACATATTATGAAGATCAATTGGAAGGATAATTAGTTCCATTAACTTTAGGGAAAGTACTTACAAGCAAGATAGTAACAAACATGCTCTGTTGTACTTGAAAAGCTTTTTAAAATGTTGGTAGATCTGCAATACTCAATCGTATGCATAAAATTCTTCTATTAAACTAAAGTACTCACATATTGTTATAGCAGAAGTTCTGAATTTCTAAAGAACTTGTGCTTTAACTGAATAAGAGCTTAGGCTGGTAATATGTTTCATTAAAAGCTCAGGGACTAATAGTACAGAGCTGTGGCATCTGCATTGAAGTGGCCAAGTCCAAAAACACTAAAGAATTCCTGGAAGTCAGCCACTCAGACAAATTGGCCATCAACAGGCAAGTAGATAGGCAGTAAACAACATCTACATACTATTCAAAAGACACAATCAAAAAGCCAAAAAGGAAACAAAAAGACCAAAAACCTCCTCACCAGTAATCAACACCCAGATGAACAGAGATTAACATCAAGATTAACCAAAAATCAAGAAACAAACAATGCCCCCTATGAAGGAACTCTCAAAACAAGCTAACAGTAAGCGACAGTCCAATCAAGGAACCACCAAGACCACTCCCACCTACACTGACAGGGCAAGCCACTGACTAGAATATAAAATGAGAGTAAACCTCACTCCCTACTAACACTGATAATGCTATCTAGTTTGGTAATGAAATGTCTGCAAGAAAACAACCAAGCTCAGAAAACCAAGGATCCCACAGTTGAAGATTTTTACCATCCGTCTTCTGAAAATTACTTAGAAGTATATACAGCTAGTCTCCACTTGTGACCCCAATTGAGCCCAACATTTATGTTGCTAAGTGAGACAGTTGGTAAGTGAATTTTGCTCTATTTTACAACCATTCTTGCCACAGTTTAGTGAATCATTACAGTTGTTTAAGTTAGTAGCTAAGCGTCTGGATTTTGATCACATGACATTGGGGATGCTGCAATGTGTCAAGTCATAAAATATTTCTATGGTCTTTTTAGAGTTGCCACAATGGTTGCAAGTGTGAAAAAAATCGCAAGTCATTCTTGTCAGTGCTGAAAACGGTCACTAAATGAACTGTTGTAAGTTGAGGACCACCTGTACAGGGTTTTATTTCCACGTAAATCATTCCAAGTTAGGGTGTAAAATAAGAGGCATTTTTGTCCTAAAGAAAAAAGAAATTAAGTAATATTTCCTCAATTGCCTGAAAACCTGATGTAAGACTTCCTGAGTTTGTCAACGCTAAGAGTGTGTATTAGTATTACACATATGTGTAATAAATTACAATATAGAGGGAGTAGGAGGCACCATCAGTACAATTTGGCTTTATTAAGAACAAGTTTCAAAACACACAATATAATAATGTTTCCATTATATAAAATGCATGGCAATTCTTCATGTTTAAATTATCAAATGCATTCCGTTACAGTTTCTGGATTCTAAACAAAAGAGTATTGATCTAATACAATAATGTGGTAACTAGCTTCCAGGTTTACTTTGGATCATATCCATTTATGTGTTAATATGTTTAGTAATAAAACTTTATCTTATGCTATACTTGGTGCTAACATCAACACATTTTATAGGAATACAGCCAGGTAATATCTATATTTCATTGCTGAATATAGGGTAGTTACAAGCTCTATGGTGTAAGCAGTCTTATTTATTTATACTAAAGCCAATAACCTCACTTTCACCTCTCTGAAAATTGGATCCCTGAAGCAGCTATTGTCCATTCAAAAACAACTACATATTAACAGAAATAAAATGGGTCAATGCATATCAATCAAGAGAAATGAAATTAATGATTGCAGTAATTTTAGAGCTAGTCAAAACCATATGCAGGAAGTGAATGAAACCAAGCCTTGCTGAAGAACACAGACCACTAGAAGGAAGAAAATGTCTTAAATTCCTACAGCATAACATTTTGCAAGTTTGTTACTACTATCACAAAAAAAGGTGCCTCTAACTGCCCTGTAGAAGGCAACTAAGTCTATAGTGCGATGCATGTAAACATTATAGAGAATAAAGTCAGTATTTTTAACACAGTTGCTGTTTATAACACAGTTGCTATTCTAGAAAGATGTGTGTTTTAACATAATTTTAACTGTGTCTGGAATTGTGAGTCAGATTGTACAAATAAATAGGCCAGAAGATCAAATTTACAATCCTCCTTCCACTGCCTCCTGGGCATATTTAATTGTTTTTTTCCCTTAAAGTTAAAGATAAATCAGGAATGTTCCATCCCTGCTGTGAAAAACCAACTACTGATTGAGAAAATGCAGTACTCTGGTGTGTATAATCTATGAGCCTAAACATCTGGAGGACATCAGATTGGAGCAAACTATATGCTTTAATTAGATCTTTCACTGGATCTCCTAAGTTAAATATAGAGGGTCTATCTATAATACCCTCTCTGCAAATCTACCTTATCAATAACATTTTCTTTTTCAAAAGATTAACAATTTGAGCCTGGTGCTCAGTGACACTGGATTCTGCTACTTGCAGTGGGGTCTTCTTCAAGCTATTAGCAGCCTGCAGATTTGCTTTATCCCCTGCAGACCAGTTGAGCAGTGCTCTTACAGAATCAAAATGACCAGCTTTGCAAGCACAGTGCAATGGGGTATCTTTATTGTTGTCCAAGGCATTAATAGATGAGCCGTTGTTCAACAAAAAATCTATCAGATTGCTGTGTCCATGTTCTGCTACAAGATGCAATAGTGTCTTTCTCCAAATATTTTTGTCATTTATATTTTTATTATCTCCTGCCACCAAAAGTTCTTTTAATATCTCCATATTCCCACTGATAGCTGCATAATGCATTGGTGTGCAGCCATCCATGTCTTTGCTTGCAACTCTAGACTTTTTAGCTAACAGGGCTTTCACTGCATAAAAATGGCCTCCCAAAGTTGCAAAATGAAGTGGACTCTTTTTCTCTTTATCTGTCACATTTGGATCGGCCTTGAAATTCAGAAGCAGCTCCACCATCGCAGGATTCCCCATGTCAGCTGCAAGATGAAGAGGTGTCTTCGATCGCTTATTCTTGAGGTGGACATTAGCTTTATGTTGCAACAGCTTTAGAGCCACGTCAGTGTGACCTTTGTCACTTGCCACGTGCAATGGTGTGAACAGGTCTGTGGTGACCGCATCAATTTTAGCTCCTCCTTCAATCAGTAGGTCAACTAACGCTCCTCTGTTGTATATTGCAGCGACATGGAGGGGCGTTTGATTTCCTTGAGCAGTGATGTTAGGATCTATTCCCTTCTGCAGAAGCATCTGTGCAATGGAGAAGGCCCCAGCCTCAACCGCTAGATGTAAGGGGC